ATATATTTTTACGTTTTATGCATGAAAATATTATTGTATCCGATTCCCATTGAATACTACATTGCTAAAACTGTTTTTCGGTTTATATATTTATTTTATATATTTTATATATTGATGAAAAAACATTTAAATACAACATTTTGTTCGAATAATTATTATACATTCTTTTATTTAAATTATTAATTTTTAAAATATATTGTTGATTATAAAAGTATCTATTCACTTGGTTACTTTAATTGAATTATTTTAATATTGTACCTCTTTGTCTTCCTGTAGGTTTCTATAGCTGTGGCTTAAATCAATAAAATAAACGCTAGTTAAAATTAAAATAAAAAAAATAAAATAATCTCCATTCAATTATAATCCGTACTGGATATTGGAATGAAACATACTCGATTGCAAACGTAACAATGAACGATTAGTATTATTTATTAATTTGTATTTCACTCACATACCTACAAATTGTGGGGTTTTATCGAATGTGTTCGTATCGGTTTGCCAATATTCCATTCTTTTTCCGATCGTACAAGTCTCCGTCGTACCATATTATAGCTAATTTTCCGAACACAACCACACAACAAATCCCAGAGGAGATCAGTATTCCATGGTTTCATATACATGGGACGTAATCTAAATTTTATGTACACTACGTGATCTCTGCGTAAAATTCTATACAACCTACTAAACGAATCATTATGTTCTTTTGGTCGATTGTAGTTTGTGATACTTCTAATGAAATTGATTAATTCCTTAAATTGTTTAATCGTAACGTATATATTAAATAATTAACCATGGTGAGGTGAAAAACTAACAACGTGGTAATAAAATGATTAACTAGTATACGATAATACACGAGTTTCAATACATTTACACATCTCACGTCATAGAGCGTCAAGTCTCCGTAATGAATCATTACGGTTGATTATTGGAAGAGTTAGTAAGCACTTCTACATTATTTAAAATCACATGATTTTATAAAAATAAAAATTAAAAACAAACAGATGTTGGTTTAAAAATTTACATAAAATATTAATTATTTTATATAGTTATTTGATCATAATAATGATATTATGGTAGTGTTAATACTTATACAAAATATTAATATATTAAAAGGTAATAAATATGAAGTTTTAAAATTATTGATAATAGTCAGATTTTTGTAAAATTAATAATTTATTGGTTATCAATTTAAAACAAATTATCTGAATAAATGAAAGATTTCTCTGAACACTGATAATTCAGAAACCGTAAGCCAACACATTATTACCGCCCATCTTCAAACATAAATCTCCATTTCTTAACGAAAATAGTTATATTATTACTAAATATAAAATTAGCAAACGCGATATAAATATATTTTCCAGTTATTTACGTATTTTCATAAATTTCGTTTATAAGCTAACCTAACCTAGTAACGACCATATATTGTAATAAATTATGTTGTATAATTTTGTTTGAAATGAAACATTTATTTATTATTATAAAAAATTATTCGTAATTATTTGTATGTTAGTAAAAATGAACTAATTTCCATTCTCATACCGTTGCAATAGGAAATATTAGGTAAAACAATTGTAGTCTAATGACTATTTAGTTCGTCCTTGAACTTTTACATGCACATTTAACAAAAACAAAAACCTTTGCAGATAGTTAGCAATCACCTACGATTTAATATTATGAAAAATGTACTGACATTTTCAGTAAACCGTATTTTATTACTACTATAATATAGTGTAATATGATGTATCTTTTAATTTGACGGTTAATGTAAGATAAGTTTAAATCAAAATTAATAGGAAAAATTAATATTCAGTTTGTTAATATTAAATTATTTAAAATACAATGAAGGTTATAGTAAGTATTATTATCATCAGTTTAATGTTGGAATATTTCTTGGAATATTTTCATTGAGAAAATTACATCGAAAAAAAAAGAAAGTGGTAATTTATGAAAAGAAATGCTTATAATAGGAGGCCATTAAAAATAAAAATACCGAAAGGTAAAAAACGTACATACAAATAAACTGACTTTATGAGCTGTAAAAAAAAATGTAGGCATGGTTGACAAGAAGTATTTTAAATGTATCGTAAGTAACATAATCATAAATTTAATCTATGGCTAAAATATTTTCCATCTGAGTAAATAATACAAAAAAACGGTTAAATATATTGAATAGACAATTTATATATATATATATATATATATATATTTAGAACAATCATTTATAAAATATTGATTTCTTTTTTTCATCCATTATACATATGTTTATGATATTGTAATTCAAGATTTTTTTTATAAAATTCGTTTTTGTTTATTATACTTTTTTATTATGTCTACGTACATTACCACAAAAATTAATATTGCTATTTAGAAAATATTACTCTTTATTAGTATTAGATTTTATAAAGATTTTACAAGTAAGTATAAACAGATTAGATAGTGAGTTTTTCTAAAATAGTTTTAAATATTTAATTTCCACTTAAAAATGGTAAATATAGGTAGTGCATTAGTTCCAAAAGAATAAATAATACTGAAATATTTTTTTTTTTTTTAATGGATTTTTATGGAATTATGTTTCAATTTCATGCTTTGAAAAATATACACAATTTAAAATTAAAGATATTTGAAATAATAATTTTGAGTTCTTATTGACAGGATATAATTTAAAGAGTTATTTAAGTACGTATCTTATCGAACACGTCTAAACTTGTTTAAGTATAATTTACTCATCAAAACTACTAAAAAACTGTCTTAAGTAGATATTTATTTTATAAATAAATAATAAATGAAAATCAATAATAAGTTTTCGATTTATAGTTAACCAATAAAAGTGACGTTGTGTTTCTGAACATTGCAGTTAAACTGAAATGTCTACATTTAAAATATGATATAACAATAATTGTAACTCATAACACCAATGGCTAAGTATTTTTTTAAGTATTATACGATGAGATTCGATTCACTATGAATGTGTTATATTAAGTATAATGAAATTTTATTGTTCGAGAATTATAGTTGAAAAGAAATATAGCCAACATTTTGGGAAAAAAAAAGTATTATCTTCGTTACAATACAGGAGTTGGGTTGGCTTTTTTAAGGGGCGTGTGTTTAAAATAAAAATGGGTTATGCAAAAATTGTATCGTCATAATGTGTATATTATATAATACATAATTGTACACTAAAAGCAAACACGTTAAAATACAAATCATTTGCTACACCATATTTTCAGGTATAATATTATTTAAGTCTAAGAGTACATATGATATGAGGCCGGTAAATCTTTTAAGTCGTAAAACATTTTTTTAAGAATGGAAAAAACAAATCGCTTATTTTACAAGAGCAGTTGCTGTAACGCATACAAAACCTTAAAGGGAGAACTTCAACTTGTTGGAAGTTTTTTTCTTTCTTTAAAATTGTATTCAACATTCACGAAAACAATACACGATGGCGACAAATCATTTTTTTTTCGTAATACTTTCTGTAAGTACGTAGAAATAATTTTGAAGTAATGAGAAGTAAGAATTACTACTTGGACACAGAATGGATAAACATTGAACAGCAAATTGAAGACTCAAATATGATAATGTTCGTTTATTTCGCTCATAGATTTTCGCGATAATTCTTACGAATAAAAAACCATTTGTCATTATAACTCACGTGTAGGCGAAACGGTAAGTTTTTTGAATGTAAGCCGTATGATTTCGTAGTGTTTCGAAATTCAATTTGAATAATAATTATAATATTCGTAAGCGATATAAAAGTGTATATGCAATGGGATCGGGAATGAAAAAAGAAAAAAAAGAAAATGGATGTTTATTATAAGGACGTTGGGGTATTTCGTGACGCTCGAGCCTTCGAATCACGTAATATGTGGTCATGCCGCGTCGTGGTGAACTACGCTATTGTAATACGTGACTAGTGAGTACCTGTACCTACAACCCGCGGGAGGGAGGGTGAAGTTCAGAGGTTATATCTTAGTCATGAAAAGCAAATTACATTAAAACCGTGATCTATGTGTACACGATTTTTACGAGCAAATTTCGGCCAACTGTAAGTTCAGAAAATTTAGAAAATAAAAACATCAATTCGACTAAGAAATTAAAAGATGTAATTTACGTATTATCCAATAATAGCCGAAGGTATCACGTTAAACGAGGAGAACTTGGTAGAGATTTCGTAGTCGAAGCGCTTCTATGATGACTCGTCGCTGTATCACGCGTGGACCAAGTCACGTATCCGAGGGGTGAAGGGTACTTCACGCGTATCCAATCACGATTAGGTAAAACTCGCCGAAAAGTTTGCGTATCCATAAATCCTTTTCGATTAAAATGTAAATAAAATACTCGTCATTTGAAAGTTCATTAAAAACGATTTATTATTGTATACGTCATGGATACGTTAGATGGATAGAACCAAATTTTTAGACTCCCTCTGCATAAAAAAAAAAATTGTCTACATGCCTGACGAACCCGGTCACGGATCGAGACAAATCCCAATATAGTACGAGTCGGAAAAAATAGGTTCACCACCCCTATACCACTCGTCGTGCTCTACCCGTAGAACGTATATACGACTTGGATTTAAAAAATATCTTCTCGTTCTAAAGATCCAACAGCTGAACGGCCGACAAGTGTATATCGTATAGTGCAGTAGTTACCTACTAGTACGAAACCACACCACTGCAACTTGAATCGGACGTAGGACGCTTTTTTTCTTTTATAAAATGATGGCGTTGCTCAAATTACTTAAATCGGTTATCGCGATTTAGAAACCCTTTTTTTGTATTCGTACACCTGCAAATATTTCTAGTGACAATAACGCTTTTGTATTTTAAACGTCTGCATCCGCTTAGCGCCATAGGCTTATTTTTTTCCCGGACCAACCGACACAGTGTGGACGGGGACTTGAACGACTAAATCGAATACGTGGTGGTAAAAATAATATAAAAAAAAAAAAAAAAAGATACTTTCCACGATGCGTCGGAAGAACGGCCACTTACCTAGGGGTTACTTGCCCCCGGTTCGCACGGCGGACGATCACCCCGAGCGGAACAAGTTTCGTCCTGTGCGCGTACGGCCGATACGATGTCCGTGAACGTGCGCGAGTACGTTTTCGCGCGTCCCGTGTCTCCGCGCGCGCGCGCGCGCGCGTCTCACCCGATGGTCACCGCCGGTGGCACGGTCCCGGCGTGGTAGCGGACCACGACGAACTGGTATACCATCATGACAGCGTAGTCGTAGCCACCGCCGCCGCCACCGCCGCCGCCGCCGCCGTCCCGCACACTAAGCAACAGAGCGTGTCACCACGGCGCGCGCGAGCCACACACGTCGACGCAACGCAACGC